ATTTGCTCTCCAATTGCCATAATATGCATAACAACCAACATGTCCAACAACCTTCTTCCATTTGTGTAATAAAAATAAAGGGTAGTACTACAATCAAATTACACACGAAAAATAATATGTTTGACAATGAAAAACGGAAAAATGGGAGGGGGGTAACAATGTGGTGGACTTTATTAAACCACGAACGACAAAGATTAAATTTGCAATGCCAATCTTTATTTGGTCATTATTAGTGCAATCCCAAGTAACAAAATCCGTTTTAACTCAAACCTTATTTGAATTGATAACAATCCCTCCAAACCATTAGTATTGTTAATAAATAGTTTTTTTTACGTATAGTTAGTTAGAAGTTTGTTAGAAGTCTTTTACACGGCCAACTGTATAGGTGTAAACATTGTATAATGATTAACTGAGCAACTGGATTTGTTGCTGTATAGAAGTTAATGGAAAAACAAATACATACCTCAACTTGGATTTGTTGATGGAAGTTGCAAGAAACTTGATTCTGATGTAGTGATGGCGAAACGGTGGGAACGATGTGATAAAATGGTAATTTCTTGGCTACTCCATTCTTGTGAAGAGTCCATATCTTCTAGCATTTTATATTGTAGTACTGGAGAAGATGTCTGGAAAGAACTCAATAATAGATTAAGTCAAAACAATAGACCTAAAATTCTTCAAATAGAGAGAAAGATCTAAGTGGGTTGGAACAAGAAGCTTTATCTGTTTCTGCATATTACACTAAACTGAAGGGTTTATGGGATGCCTATGATTGTGTAGTTAAAATGCCTTGTTGCAAATGTGGACTTTGTACTTGCAACGTAAATTCTGAAATTTTTGATATGATCAAGAAGCAGAGGTTGGTGAATTTTTTTAATGGGTTTAAACAGTGTTTACTAAACTGATAGAGGAAATATGTTGATGTTAGATACATTACCTGATGTCAACGCTGCTTACAACATAATCACTCAACATGAAACCCAAAGAGAACTTTCTGATGAAGAAAAAATGAATTTTGAAAAGATGGCTTTTGTTGCAAATAAGGTATATGGCAGAGGTTATAGCTATGGGAATCCTTCAAAACCTAGAGGGAATTATAACAGTTCTGGAATAATTCTGGGAATGGAAATTACGTTCAGAATAATGTTGGTTACAATGGATATACTAAAAACAGGGTTTCGATAAGAGAATGGTGTATTTTTGTGATCATTGCAAAATGCAAGGGCATTCTACAGAAAAATGATTTAAGTTACATCCAGAATTGAAGAAGAATTTCAGAGAGGAGATTTGCTGCTCAAGTCAGTTCAGATATGAGTTCTGAATTACCATCTAATGTATCCGGTTTTGATGAGAAATTTGGAGTGCTCACACATGAGTTATATCAACAGATGATATCCTTATAAAGCAAACAGAATGTTAATGAAAGCTCTACTCAGAATCCCAATCCTGCTCTCTTAGCAAGTAAATTTTGTTTTCTTTCTTCATACAATAATGATACTTGGATCATTTACCATGGTGCTAGTGACCATATTACATCATACCTTTCACATTTTTTGACATATGAACCAATTAAAACAGCTTGTCACATCACTATTCCAAATGGTCAGAAAGTTTCAGTCATGCGCATAGGCACATTTTAGCTCACACCTAACATAATATTGAATGGTGTAATGTTTGCATGTTCCAAATTTTTAGTTTGACCTCATTTCTACCAACAAAATTACAAAAGGCTCACATTCTCATCTCATATTCACTGCCACTAATTGTTTCACACAAGACCATTTGATGAATCCTCTTCAACTCCTTGGTAGAGAACATGGTGGTCTGTATTACGTTGCTCCACATACAAGTTCCACAACCTTCGTCACAAATATCTTCATTCCTTCCAATACAAGTCAAGCTCATTTGTCCTCAAGCAATAATTTGCAACTTTGGCATTGCAGATTAAGACATATGCCATATTCTAGAATGAAACATATACATTTAGATTCTGTTTCATATCAGTCAGCTAATAATGTATTTGTAATGTTTGCCCAAAGGCTAGACAACATTATGATTCCTTTTGTAATAGTGATTGTAAAGCTTCTACTCTTTTTGAACTTCTTCATGTAGATCTTTGGGGTCCATATGCATATTGTACTCATAATGGTAACAACTATTTCCTTACCATAGTTGATGACTTTTCTAGAGCCACTTGGACTCATTTGTTAAGCTCCAATTCTTCGTGCTTTTTCTTTCCTCCAAAGTTTTGTTACTTTCATTGAAAACCAACTCAAAACTATTGTCAAAATCATAATATCTGACAATGGTATTGAATTCAGAGACAACAATGCCCTTAACTTCTATTTAAAAAAGCAATTATCCACCAAACCAGTCTTGTCAATACTCCTCAACAAAATGGGAGAGTAGAAAGAAAACATAAACATCTTCTTGAGATTGCTAGAGCATTATATTTTCAATCCAAACTTCCCATAAATATTGGGGTGAATGTCTTCTTCACGCCACATACCTGATATACAGAATACCTCTTGTTGTTCTAAACAATATTTCACCTTATAAGCTTCTTTATTCTCACAAACCTTCATACAACAATTTAAAATGTTTTGGTTGCCTATGTTTTGTTGCCACATCTAAAGTTTTCAGAAAGAAATTTGAAGAAAGAAGAAATTGTTGTGTTTTTCTGGGATATCCCCATAATAAAAAAGGATATAAAGTGCTTGATTTGCAAAATCACACTGTTTATACGACTAGGAATGTAAAATTTCATGAGCACATTTTTCCTTTCCATCATGCAAATCAATCTCAGTCTGACTTTCATATTCCCACAATTACTTCTAAGATTTCATCCTTATTTTGTCACAACTCCATCTCTCCAAATATCATACTCATCAAATCCTTATCATAACACATAACTTATCTTTACAACATCTTCTACACCTTCTTCTCACTCTACATCTTTCACACCTTCTTCTCAGTCAACATCTATGGTCCATAATATTTCTGTTTCTGATATCTCAATCCAAACATCACCTCCATATACACATGTCCAAACTGAAGAACATACACTTCCAGCAACCAGGAAATCTTCAAGGATACATAGACCACCTTCATACTTGAAAGATTGCATCTGTCCTCTCCAACCTACATCACATGCACATTTAACTAAAACACCACACTCTTGCAATCTTGTAGCATTTGATACCTTTCTCTTAGAAAACCAAGCTTTTATTGCCCATATTTCTTCACATGTTAAACCTATGTCTTATCACCAAGCTGTTCAAAATCCTAAGTGGGTTACTGCTATGAACAAAATAACTTAATGCACTAGAAAAAAATGGCACATGGGAATTTTGTGACTTACCACCTAATAAAATGGCCATTGGCTCAAAATGGGTGTATAAAGTCAAGTTAAATTATGATGGATCGGTAGAAAGACTGAAATCCAGATTAGTTATTCAAGGAAATCATCAAAAATATGGAATAGACTACGAAGAAACTTTTTCACCTGTTGTCAAAATGATAACAATTAGAACTGTTTTAGCAGCTGTTGCAGCACGAAAATGGGATGTTTATCAACTTGGTGTGAACAATGTATTTCTTCATGGTGATTTGCATGACGATGTATACATGAAAGTCCCACTCGGTGTTCCCAATCCAGACAACAAGGTGTGCAAACAGAAGAAATCGTTGTATGGGTTGAAACAAGCTTCTCGACAATGGTTTAATAAATTAACTTCATCTTTAAAGGCTCAATTTTACAACCAAACCGTCAATGATTCATCCTTGTTCCTTAAGACAACTGAAAATAGATTAACTATTCTTGCTGTCTATATTGATGACATACTATTGATTGGTTCAGGCAATGATGAAATTGTGGCTATAAGGGCTTTCTTGGATAAGACTTTTACCATAAAGGATTTGGGATATATACATTTTTTCTAGGCATGGAAGCATCAACTATAGCAGAGGAAGGTTAAATATTTTATCCTTTGTTGGCTTCTTTTTTTAAAAAAAAAATTATTGGTTGATCTGTTATTCTCACAAATAATATTTATACACGCAAAATGTAATTAAAGCAACCGATATTCACATACTAGATTAAAAACATATGTATATTAATGGAATATATTATACATACATAAATTACATTAACTTAAAAAATAAACTTTAGATCTAAATACTAAAGGTGCGTGTTACACTACCATTAAGGTTTTGCAATTTCAATCCCTTCTTGATGATCTGAACGCATATATTGTAATTCAACTTCTCTCTTCTCAGACATTAAAAGACCAGGAACCGAAAAAGGTGGAGTGTCATCATGTTGATCATACTCATCCTCAACATCACCAATATAATGCCTAGAATATGTCTCTTCCCTAGAACGAGAATGTACCACTTCTTGTCATCTGTATCTTGAATGTAGAAAACTTGCTTCACTTGCGTTGCAAGAATGAATGTTTTGCCACTATCACGCAAACGACTCATGTCAATTAGAGTGAGCCCACAATCATCTCCCTTAACACCGCCACAATTGTTTTCTACCCACTTGCATTGGAATATTAACTACTACATATATAATACTATGTATATATAGTTACCATTAGGATATCAAGTTACCCAATGTTCTTGTGTTCCTCGTGATGAGCATTTCTTGTCTCAGCTTAACATTTGTTATTAGTAGAAGTGTTTGTTATTTTTAATGAGTTTTTTTTTTTTTTTTTGGCCCTCCGACTATTGTGTCATTGACACTTTTGGTACTCGACTTTTAATTTTTCCAATTTTGTCCTCGACTATTGTTCTAGATACACTATTAGTCCTTGACTTCCAAGTTTTACACATTTAATTCACTAAGTATTATCAAATTGACACTTTTAGTCCTTCCACTCTGATTTTGATACAACAAGTGGAGGACTAAATTATCATTTTTATAACGGTTGAAGGACCAAATGTTTAACTTTTGTGAAAGTCGTAGGATAAATATGAATTTTTTGAAAGATGAGTACCAAAATGCCGCTAGCACAAATTCCGTCAATTAGCCTGCTTCGTCGGTTCTCCCGCAAACACCGTCAAATTCTCCGTGCTTCCATATCCTGTACTTCATCTCCCTTTGCTGCCTCAACTCCCGACCATAAGAGCGTCCAAGCTTTTCGTAATCGCCGTCCGGTAACTCGCAGTTCTTCCCTATCCATTCAGGTTTTAGCTCTTTTCCACCCTGCACGAACGTCTAACCTTATTACACATTCCAAAAAACGTAGTAGTGATTATAGTCAAAATGCCAATCTGGATCTGTTTTTTTGTGTGATTATAGTTTGGCTTCGTGTTCATATTAATTAACTTCCAGCGGATGATATGTAGCTCCAAGATATGGATTTTGACAATTAATTTATTCAATTTGCATATATAGTCGTAGAAAGAAACATAAAACTCCCGAAACTCTGAAAGGTGTCAATTCAGTTATGTATATCATGCCGTATAACAGTTTACCGAATTTTATAAACTCAATTGTATTTCTTATGAGCCATTGATAATTTATTCAACTATCTGCTTGTTTTAGTGTTTTTAGAATTTGGTTAACATAAAATTCCTACCCTGTACGGCAGTACCTCAATTCTCAAATCAACCATTATTGAGGAGTTTTTGTGTTTTCTGATTTATTTTAGTGATTATTTGAAAAGTGCTTAGTAGTTTAGTAGTAAGAGTAGGTAGTGTTTAGAAAGAAAAGTGTTTTTAATACGAAACACCCCTTCCCTTGCAAAAGCTTTTAGCTTTAAAATGCTTAATTTAAGCAGAAGCGCTTGTTTGAAAACACTATTTTTAGCTTTTATAAAGCTAAAAACTGAAAACATTTTTTTAAGCAAAGGAAAACACTGCCTAAGGCTTATGGCCAAATGACATGTGTATGCAGTTCTGTAAAATCTCAGTTGAACTTGAGTTGTTCTTACATTGTTTTATTTGTACAATCACTGTGGTTTGGGCATGGTGGAGTAATTAAACAGAGTGAATAGAACCCGTCTTGCAATTAAAAAAATACAATAACCAAGCATATTGTTATCTGTATTTTCTCTTTAGTCTTACCTGCAACTGCATAGTGCATATAGTTCTCTTATACAATCAAATGTAAAAGTGTGATCTGGATATCTGCCACTTCAATAAATGTGATGGGCCTGATTAGATTAAAAATAAAAGACTATGATAATAAAATTGAACAAAACATGGTATCATTTGAATTTCAACCACATCTTGGAAGCTTGATTATCTTAGGTGTTTGAAATTATGTCTCTACAGAAGAGCTGTTTTTAACTACTATTGTATCTATGAACTTTATCACTCAATGTTTTCAAATTTAATAAAACAAAAATTAAACCAAATTGCTTAGGTCTATAATAATCACTTATCTTAGGACACATTGCCCTCAAATCCCCAATTAGTAATTTGTCTTACAATCCCATTTTTTTGCTAGAATACAGAATACACCTTGGATCGTGTATCATTGGTCTCACCACACTTTTGGATGAATGTTGAGTTAGAATCTTTTAAAGCCTCATTTGAACAGAATAAGACTACATTGAATTGTGAACATTTTATTGTGATTTAGTTTGGCTAAATCAAACCAACACTGTGTTAGTTTAGTCCGCTATTCCATTATAAAAGTTTGGGCACAACGCACTACTTGTTTGTTTACCTTTATATTGAGCATGAATATGATGCAGATGCCCCCATGTGTCTCTCACTCTCTTGTGTTGTGTGTTCCATTTCGTGGAATCTAGACAAAATCAGTACATGTGAAAAGATCTTTGTTCTATATTACTTATCATGGTTTGACTTTTGTACTATTCACATACTCTAATTTTATTTAATAATGTATAAGAATATTATATTACGACTTACGAAAAGTACTGCTAAATGGCCAAAATTGTGTTGACAAATGTGCAAGTACATATATACTCTGTATATTTTTGGGAAAAAATTGTTGGGGTCTGCGGCTCTTGCCCTCAACCCCGTTGTTTACTAAAAACCCAAAGAACTATTTATTGATTTTTTTATTTATGCATATGAACGGAGCTTGTTATGGGACTTATTCCAGAGCAACTTGTTCACTTGATTGGTATACACCTTTGAGGCTCAATTTTGTCGCTAGGGTTTGGGTGAATCTTGAAGTCCTTGATCAAGAGCAAGCAAGGATGACCACTATTCGAAGATTTTGCTGCAACGATCTTCTCCGATTCACACCTGTTAATCTAGATCATCTCACCGAAACTGTCAGTGGTCTTGTCATTTCTCTGTCTCTCTCTCTCTCTCTCTCTATATATATATATATATATATATATATATATCTGGGAGAATTAACCAATTCAGCTTTGTATCGTCATATGAAGTTTCAATAGAAAAAGAATTGGTATGTGAAATGCTGATCATTTTTAGTGCAGTTCAATATGTCGTTCTATATGACTTACTTGGCTAGGTGGCCTGACTATTTTCATGTGGCCGAAGCTCCGGGCAACCAAATCATGGGTTACAGTAAGTTCATCTCCAGCATTGTGTTCATACTGTGTTGAAATTATTAGATTTACATTTTTATTATATTGCTGTGCACTACAGTTATAAAAGTGGGATGATTTGTTTGGCTCAAACACTACAAACATAATGCCACAACTGTGCTATATGTAAATCTTTAATACACTCAGGTCACGGACAAAACATGTCCATGGAAGAAAATATAACACAGAAAGATGTCAAATATGAGTCATGCCTGTGAGCTCATTCATGCACACAAAGTAGGTCTGTGTGTTGTGTCTTGCTCACAGACCTTTATCTGTATTCGCAGAGAACTATGTTTGAGTGGCTTGCTCAAAAACATGACTCGTCATTGACGCCTTTCTCCTTTTCCTTTTCTTACATAGACATGTTTTGTTTGTAACTTAATAATTTGACAGAGATGAATTGTTTGTATGTAGAGGTGTACACCATTAGTGTACAAGTATTGTTTTGATGTCAAAACACTCATATTAGTATTGACTTTTCATCAGATAGATTAAGTTTTGTAAATAAAATAATAAAAGTTAATGTGATTACTTAGTAGGCCGTTGATCAATGATGCACCACAATGGCCTGCTCCTTTCTTGCTTTCCATGATTGGATAGGAATAAAGGAGAATATGTTGAATGCTGATGGATCGTCAGTTTATATTTTTACAATAAAAGTTTAGGAATATTCGGGTTTTACACTTTTACCCTTGAAAATCAAGCATCAGTGTGTCACCATAAAAAGGACACACTTAGGCTAAGGCTGATAGTGAAACATGTAATATGTCCTGTTTACCATCTTAGAGAGAAGGCCTTGTTAACAGCATTGGACTTGCTTATATCATTAGGGTAGTGTGCATTAATTGGATTATTTGTACTTTTGTGGTGCATGAATGACCAACAAGTAAAACACAATCAATTTAGAAATGTCCTTAGGGTGTGCCAGTTTTTTCTCTAGTTATTAATCTCATTTGTTGATAAATTTCTTCTGTTTTCATTTTTTACATGCATGAGCAACAATTGAATCTGGGTTTGTGGGGGAACTGTTGCTTTTTATGTTTGCAGTTATGGGAAAAGTTGAAGGGCAAGGTGAATCTTGGCACGGTCATGTTACTGCTGTTACCGTATCCTCTGAATATAGAAGGCAACAGTTGGCCAAGAAACTGATGAATTTACTGGAAGACGTCAGTGATAAGATGTATGTATAATTTCTATTTCTTGCATGCCCTCCTTGTTTATTGTGTCAAACAATAACTTTCTGTAACCTTAGAGAGGAAAATGAAATGCTCATTTCTCATTCATGATAATACGGCATGAAAATATGAGACTGGTTTTGATTTATTATCATGTCTTATGTTACTCCTGCATCTTCCGGAATGCTTTCTGTCCCCATTCTGAAAAAAGAATCATGTTTCAAAGCTTATCCGTGTCTAAAACAAGTCATGCTTCAACAAAAGAAGATAAGTTCAATTGAATTTAATGTAATTTTTTAGATATATTTTTTCCTCAAACAATTTAAATACAGGAGTTGATCTTACATTCTTACCAAAAGTTAGAAGTTGTACCTTGACAAAACAAATTTTTAGACAAAAAGAATCCCCTTGTTTGACACAAACTATTGGAACTTTTCGCCTCATCTTGTATTACTTCTTTCTCCCAGTTTCATGTGTTCCCAAGTCTAGGGTTAGATTGGTGATGTCATTTTCTAAATTACTGTGTTTTCAGATAGGTATTACTTGTACGGGCACTAACAAGAACTTTTCCATTATAGTTACAAGGCTTACTTTGTTGATCTCTTTGTGAGAGCATCAAACGTGCCAGCCATAAAGATGTACGAGAAGGTATGCTTGACTGTCCCTTCATATCATGCCTGAATTTTTATACACTCGTGTCCCACAAAAAAGCTCAGTTTGAGTAAACCAAAATAATTTTTCAAGTAGTGTGTCTAAACAAGGGGAGCAAACAAGTTAACTAGGATAAAGATAGTTAATTGTATAAAAAATGTTTTTAAGAAGTAACTATGATTTGCACCTAATGTCAGTTGTACATTGTGAAAATAAAGTTGTACCTAGGTCAAATAAGAATATTATGGGACATAAGGAGTGCATGTATGATGTATATTCGTTTCAGTACTTAAGAAGTATCTTTGAACAAGGCATTAGTCTAAGTACATATATATTCTATTTTCCAGCTTGGCTACATAATATACAGGAGAGTGCTACGGTATTACTCTGGAGAAGAGGACGGGTTAGGTGAGTTGGGTAAATCCTACCATAAAAGTTTATACTATCGTATATTCTACGAAGTATTAATTAGTGTATCTTAATTAAGAGACGCTTGCTTGTTTTTTCATTTTGTTTCCTCTAAATGATAGATATGAGGAAAGCTCTATCACGAGATGTGGAGAAGAAGTCCATCATTCCCCTTAAACGGCCGATTACACCAGATGAACTGGAGTATGACTAATGACAAATCCGTCTTGTTCTTTATTTGGCTTTTCTTGATTATGTATGACTGACACATAGCTGGGAATAAATCAAGTTTTGAACGTGGGTGTATTTTCTTTTAGTGGCTTTGTGGTTTTGTTCGTACTGTCCAGATGTCTTCGGATCATCCTCCATCTTTATGAAATGAGTTCTTACAGTGGTGTTTTTGGTTCATTAAGCAGTGTTTGAAAGTACGTGAGGGCATTCATCATGCAGAATTAGGGGGTTTTGGTCCCCTTAACAGAAGAATATAATTGCACAGCCCAACAAGTTTTGTATCCACAAATTGTGTGTCTTGTTGTATACTTGTCTAAATTCTAGAGTCTACACAAACAAAAGTCAAATGGTACTTCATACGGAGTATATTTTAGCTTCTCTTTGGCCGATTAAATGTTTTTATTCCCACCCTTGCAACTATATTTTATAAAACATATATACTCCTTCAGTAACAAAAATTACTTCTCGCTTTTTCTGAATTGTCCTAAAACATTTGACATTTTTTATATCAATCACAATCTTACATTTTGACATTATCAATAAGTGTGCCAATTGAAATGTATACTAAGTTTAGGGCGAAGGTAAAATTTTATAAAGTACCGCAGATTTGAATATGCTAATTAGGGTAAATTCTGGATTTGGTAATTTGTTAGCACTAGGATACTAGTGATTTCTTTTCGAATATGTTGTAGTTTCTTTCCAATTGGAATTTTGTAGAATATTTTGAGTTGTTCCTAAGAGCATCTTTGAGAACGTGGATTGTATCCCATTAAAAATGGACATGTTAACCGTTTAAAGTTTAAACGGTCTATGAAGTTGAGGTGGACACACAGACGGTTGGAACAGTATCTCCGCTCCAATGCAATCCTGAATTACAACTAGTCATACCAATTTCAGTATAAAAAAAACTACCACAGCTTTAGGATGTTTTCTTTTGGACTGAAATTTGCTGGTCTGATCTGGTCTGGTCTGAACTGGTCTGGTCTGGTAAACGCCTGGTCTCTGTGTATTTTATAACTATCCAAGTCTGGTCTGGTCTGGTCTGTTTAAGTCTGGCCTGGTCTGATCTGGGACTGAAAACAGTCCAAAAGAAAACATCTTTACTTGTTAATTTAACTATCTGTTCTTCATCTTGGACGCCATGGACGGCATAACCAGAACACCAGCCTCAACTCACAGGTTTACATCTCCCTTCCCATCTTTGATTTTACTCCATATACTTAATTCGCAGGTTTACCTGTTAATTACATCTCTCTTCCCATCTTTGATTTTACTCCATATACTTGATATTTTCTCTTATTTTCATGTTTTAATTCAGCATAATAACTTTGAAACAAACAATGTTAAAATTCATTTTATGTCTGAATGGGGAGAATTAGGTAAGTCTATTTCTGTCTTTTCTTTCATTTGAGTAAGTCTGTTTCGTCTTTTCTCTTTCATTTCAGAATGTGGTTAGTAAAATAATTTGTGTTGGTATAAGCTATGCAATGATAAATTATTAAATATATGACTTAGTAATGATCACTATTTTTTAGCGTATTTTGGCTGATTTTTTTAGAAACGATAGTGGTATTATTCGTGATTTTAGTATATTGTTCATAAACAAATGAGAGTTTAGATTTTAGTTATAGTCCGTATAAAAATTAGATGGGATCACTGCTTTAATAACGATAAATAGCTAGTAGAATAGGGGGTGTGGTAGGACCTTGAGGTTGTGTAATATTTTCAACTTTTATTTTGAATAATTGCTTAATAATGAGAAATAGTTCGTGATCATAGTTTTTTTGTGTAGTTGAATTGGGTGAATAGTTTTGTTTTGGGATGAGCATTTGTAATCTGATTAACTCTGTTAAAGTGTGGTCAAATACGATTTGTTTAAGTTTGGCCTTAACCGGTATGATAGTTCAAATGTGTGTATGTTAGAATTTTTGCTACTTTTAGTCTTCCGACTATTATGTGAATGATCGTTTTGGTATTTCACTTGTATTTTTTCTATTTTTAGTCCTTTTATTATTGCGCGAGGTATGATTTTCATTCACGTTTTTTAATTTTTTTCATATTTAGTGCTGCAACTTTTATGAAAATGACATTTTTTGCTTCAACTATTATCATAGAAACATTTTTAGTCTTCATTCATTGCGAAAATTCATATATATCAGAAAGGCTAAAAATGTCAAATTGAAAATAATTGAAAGCCGAGTACCAAAAGTGTTATAGACATAATAGTCGGGAACTAAAAGCGGTAAAAAGTAAAAACTCGTGTATCTTAGTATATTCATAGTCTAGTCTGGTCTGAGTTGATTTTTATATGCACTCCAATCTCATTTGAAACTAAAACCAATCTAATCTCAAAACATTATAAGGTTTAAATCAACTCCGCAATGAAATCATTTTTTATATCATGTATGTTTCAAGTCAGAATAAAAGAAGAGAGTGATGTGGTAGGTGTTTGACGACTAATGATATTATTTAATCACATCACATGACATGAATCAAAATATGAGTTAGCGACTCCAAATTCTTTTAATTTGGGATAAGGCTTGGATGTTGTTGTATAGGACTTCAACCACATTTTAAATAATTAATGTATGAAGTACAAAAGTAATGTTATTAAATGTAAATGCAGTGATGTGTTATGTTTTAAGTGAGTTTTTGACTATTGACCAAAGTTCTCAAAAGATACATATCGTAGTATAGTACGTATCTCATAATAAAATTCTCATAGGCCATATGTTTTTATAAAGGAAAATGAGATAGTAAGTTATTTTTAGTTTAGAATCTCATTCTTTTTCATTGGAAATTCAAAAGTTTTTCATTATACGTAATTACGTATAAATACATATTTAATTTATAGGTAGTGTCTTTTGATATTCATTTGGTAGTGGTAATACACAATATAATTGCAAAGAGTGTTCTACGGAGTATAAGATTTGCCACATGTTGATTGTTCTTCCATAGGATTTGCCACATGGCAAATTTTTTAGAAAGAACTTTGCCGCATGTCAATTTTTCCTCATAGGATTGTGTTAAGGGTTTGCTTTATTATACTTCGTATTATATAGATATAGATATAGATACTCCCAAAACACTTCATGTTTGGCCAATATATAACAAAGAAAATCAATATAAGAGTCTTATGTTGTAAAAACCGGACCGGAGAGTGACCCGGCCACATGACTGGGTCACGGTCAACCCGGACCCGGTGGGTCAACCCGGTCAACGCCGGAAAACCGGTCAATGATTATACGTCTATATAATAATAGTAAACATATAATTATATATATAATTATAATAAAAATTAGTTATTATTCATAATAATCAGCTAATAATACTACTTGTTAAGCATTTAATACACTCTCATAATATTTCAATGTATATTTTGATCTTATAAAAATATATAATTATATTTTTATTTTTATTGTACATCTATATTATAATTTGGCATGATGTTGATTCTTAAATAAATATATAAATATATTACGTAGTTTTTCTTTTTAAGGTATTGAAATTGCAATTTTATTGGTATAAAAAATGCATTAAAAATAAAAAAGAAATTACTTTTTTTGGTAAAAACACCCAAAAACTGGGTTTTACCGGTTTTCGGGTTTCTTGGGTCCGGGTCTTGACCGGGTTTTCCCGGGTCAGCCGAGTTTTTCCGGTTTTTGACCATTTCCAGGTTTTGAAAAAACCAAACCGGTTTTTTGTCCGGGTCACCGGGTTCCGGGTCAACCCGGCCGGGTCGGGTCGGTTTTTTAAACAATAGTATAAGTCAACTCAATGAAATAAAAACATGCCAATGTACTTTTCAAAAGAGAAAAAAAACAATTCCATAAAAAAACATGCTAATGTACTTCAGATATAGGATGCTTAAATTAGAAAAAAATGGGTATTACAAGAAGAAAGGCAAGATCATGAAGCACAATTTGAATGAATTGAGCGCCGCCACTTGTATTATCTGTGATGCTTGATGGGCTAAGTTGAGGAGTCCCATAATTTGGTGAAGGCGATGGAGGCCCATAAATTGGCGAAGGCGATGGAGGCCCATAATTCTGGGGGGATTGGGCTGGGTTTCCAGTGGGCGATTCAGTGGGTTGATTTCTTTTAGGAACTCTAATGTCAATCTTTTGCCCAGCCTGGCAGTGGCCTTCCAACCCACAAATGTAGTAGTAGTGGCCTGGGCCCACTATCGTTATCGAGTCGTTGCCGGAGGCGTAAGTGGCTATTGGCGACGTCGTTTTGCAGGAATGGTAGTCTTCGCGGCTCACCCGTAACACATTGTGTTCTTGGGGATTGTATTCAAAAGCTGTAATTCATTTAGAAAATACTAGTATATGTTAGGGTTCCTTTCTTATGATGTGTTTGTAGTATAATAACTTGCCATAACTGTGAGGTGAAAATTTAAAATGAATCACCTATAAAATGTAAAAATTTGAAAAATGGATTCAAAATTAGGATCACTTAGCTTGTTCATACAACAAAACTTACTACATTCTTCTGTTATAACTCTAATACTATACTCTATCAACTTTCCATTTATGATGGTTCTAAAAATTTATCATAACATGACTTTTCTTTATAAGACTATAAGTAATTATGTTTTGATTCTAATTGTATCTCTAATCTAGATAAATGTCAACTACAAATTTTTTACTTATAAAGGTAGTATTCATTTATTTTATCAAATTTGCGATATACTAGGGCATATAAGACTACAAGAGAAAAAAGTACATCATTTATTTTATCAAACTTGCTATATACTAGGGCCTGGGTTGGCTCTACCATTTGCTGTTTATATGGTATCCAATGCCACATTTGGAAATGAGGATCTTAAATAAAAAGTATTAATTCTACATTTCTACTACTAAAAAAGTGATATTTGAAGATTCTTGTTCGTTGTTAAAACTTAGAAGGAATATGATATGATTCCGTTTAATAATACTGTTTTATGTTTAAGCAAGAAATTTACAATTTAAACTTGTGGATAAAATAGAAAAGTAAAAACGGGAAGTAGAAAGCCGAGTTTGAATTATGTTAAGGTAGACTATAGTGGTTTGATTGAACAATGTCAGGATTCTACCCGAGTTCGGAATCAAATCTGAAATGTTTGTCATTTTTATTTTTCATATTTAGCTCACCCGATAACATCCAATACATAGCATAATTACTTCAACAAAGTCTAATTCAGATTTTTGGGTCCGCCTCAAATAAGAGTGTAGATGGATGAACTTACTAATGGTGTCTCCAACATGGAAAACCTTGTGGGAAGCCCACTCACGATAATCAACACCTCCTACATTCCAAGCAGCCGCATCCCCAACTCTGTACTCAGCGCCTGCCGCGGTGGCCGGAAAACGAGAGACGGTGATTAGCGTCAACAGTAGGGCCGCTGCTTCCGATCTCA